TCAGGCAGTGTATCATGACAGAAGTATGGAGGAGACAGCTTAGGTCTTGGTGAATGGAGAGCAAAAGAGACCGAGAACTGAGTCCAGGCCCCATTACCACTTCAAGGGACAACACCACATGCCTGGAAGAGTTCTAAGTAGGCTATACCTCTGGAAGATTTCCCACCTCCCTAAAATGGGGACAGATAGGGACAAAGCATCAGATGCATGGGTAAAAGATGACATATATCCATATCAAAATGTAGAGGAGTTATATTCTGAAGGCAGGGTAACAGCCCTGAAAAGTTTATCTGAGTTTAGAAAGAGCTCTGAAGAAGAGATGTGTGAGGGAAGAGTAATACTGACCAGAATGCTTCCAAAAATGTCCAGAGGGAATGCTGTCTCATTCGGTTACTAAACTTAACCATTATACTCAACATTAAACTCAATTTGTAGAAAACCATAAAAGAAGGTAGACTACATGGACAGAAATGGAAAAAGGGGAAGCTAATTTGAGCGAAATATTTTAAAGGTAGGAAAGATGTTATATTATTCTTTTTGTTGTTGGAAAGCATGGACTGTGCCAGGTGTGATGGTGTATGCCTTTAGCTCCAGCACTTGGGAGGCAGAGGCAGGCAGATCTCTCTATGAGAGTTTAAGGCTAACCTGGTGTACATAGTGAGTTTCAGGCCTCTGGGAATTCAGAGAGAACTTGACTCAAAAAGACTCAATAAATAAAAAATAAATAAACAAATAAATAAATCATAATAAATAAATAAATAAATAAATAAATAAATAAATAAATAAATAAATGAAAAGAATGGACTTCTGGACTGCCTGAGGAACCTAGTGCCAGACATCCAGAGGAACGATCCCTGCTTTTTCAGGACTGGCTCTTGACAGCACACCACACCACAATATCTGGGGCCATCTCTGGTGTATAACGAATCCCAAGATCTCACACTGGAGTGAAGGAGTTCTATCCTGTTGGGATGTTTGCTTCTCTGAGACAACAGCTTGCTTATGTTTCCATGGAATTCAGTTTTATGATATTGTGAGCTCTTTCCAAAGCCTGAATACAAAAAAGCAGGTGAAGCCTGCTAATAAAACATATTTATAAGAACATTCTGAGTTAACACATATTGCTACTACAAAACTTTATTCCATTTTGTTTATGTGTGAGTGTTTTGCCTGCAAACTTGTAAGTGCACCTGTGTTGTGCAATGCCTGTGAAGACCAGAAGAAAACATCAGATCCCCTGGAACTGGAGTTATGGATGGTTGTTAGCTTCCATGTAGGTTCTGGGAACTGAACCTGGGTCCTCTGCAAGAGCAGTCAGTGCTCTTAACCATTAAGCCATCTCTCCAGCCTCATAGTATTACTTTTAAAATGTAAAATGTAAGAAGAACTATTCTACTAATTTGTATTTTGATAAGACAGTTATGTCAGTACTGCTGTATTTCAGTGAAAGCACAAATAAATTAAAATATAAAGTATTCATGAGACTTATTTCCACAGGATTTACTGGAATTCTATTTAAAAGAGTAAACATACTGGAATGACACCTAAATATAAGATCATGGAAACCATTGGGAAAGGAATAACATAAGAAACAAATACTTCTATTTGGCTTTGGATATGTTTTTCTCACTTCACTCATCAAATGATTTCATATAAGATTGATTTGTTTCTTAAAACGTTCGTGTCAAGATTTTCTAAGAGTAATAAAAATAAAGTGTCACACTCTAAGTTGGATTTTGAAGTTACGGGCAAAACAAAGCTTTACTAAGAACAACAAAGAATCACTGATACCTGAGGCCAAGCCCGGAGCTGCCCTCAGGTGCCCTGAAAGTTATACATACTTATTTCTGGTAACTTATGGGAAGCCTCAGCCCTCCAAAAAGTTTGATATGTGTTTTGATTTTAACTTTACTGTCTTGAAGGAGTTCAAAACCTTTTCCTGCAAGAATATAATCCAGGCTTTTAGGTTTTCACAGCTAATGTTAAGGGCTTGATACTTCAACAAGTTATGCGGACCAATATGGCAACCACGTATCAGAAATTCCACTCAGCTAGAGTTGTTCTGACACTTGCTTAAATTACCAAAAAAAAAACTCGAAGCTCAGTCATGTTTTCATGATGTTTTTCTAATTTCTGTAAAGTTTTTATTAGCTCCTTCTCTTAGTATTCTAAAAATGAATTCTTTGATAGAAGATATTTTCTTTTGGTTATGCCATAGAATCAGATGGATTTGGAAACACATAATGTTACCTGGGTTTTCCTATATTAGATAAATTTTGTAATCCATAATACTACCAGGTTTTGATAAAATAAAAGGTCTGGAAGCTCTGACTATATTTAGAAATTAAATGTAGCACCTAACTCACCTGTTATCTCTATGTGTTTTCCAACTTTTGCATGGGCTGTTGAATATTTATCTGAAACCCTTCTGTAAACATCTTAACTCGCTAGATATTGAATGTAGTACCTGAAAATCATGCCAAACAGCTCAGTTCGGTGTTTACCCTTTTTCTCCCTAGGTTTCCGGACTAGAAAGTCTGAAGAAAGCCCATTTTAAAATGTATTTAGTTTATAGAAGATATTGATAAATGAGTTTTAAACAATTAAAATAGAATGAAACTCTAAGAAACTATAGCATCTTCCATTTTTTGAGTATATTCATTTATCTGAACTGAAGTTATCCTTTTTATAGCAAGATTAATCCACTCTTTTATTTTAATCTTAGTGTACATTTTCCTGTATTTGTGTGCATATATATTTGGAAATCAAACTGAAAAAATGTAGCCATGAAATTTTAACATTTTATTTGCTTATCTTAGGAAGAATTTCTCCAAGAAAATACATTAGGGATATAATGGAGTGTCTTCTGATACTGTCTGTTCCCAGAATCTTATTCTTGCTTTTAGTGCTGACTCCTAACTCAAATGTCATTTTCAAAGATAATCTCTTGTTTAAATTTTTCTTTCCTTATTTTTGAAAAGATTACAATAACATTAGAAAACTCCAATAATTTCCTTATTTTGGTATAAATGTTTTTCTTTTTTAACTTTTGGAAACTAGATGGGGGCCATTGGTAGGGAAGGAGAAGAAAATTTTTATGTGGAGCATAGTAGACATGGGTAACGTAGAGGGGAACAATGGCGAGGGAGACTCAGTAGGCAGAGGAGGAGTGAGGGAAGTGATTTCTAACACTAAGAATGTATGAAAAAGACATATGAAAACCCATTTTAAAACCTCCATATATTCATACATATCCATATGAAGAGTTTCATTGTAGTAACACAGGAATAATGGTCCTCCAAGAACTTACCGTTTTCAAATAAAAGGCTAGTGTCAGGTATTTGGTATTTCCCCTAGAGTTGTTGGCCAGAGGTGTCCTAGAGACACCCCAAACAATATAAGCTATTGCCCACCAGAAATTGAATGACGCTTTGTAACAGGACACAGAGAAACCAAACCAGTACTTACCAGGAAGCCTCCTTCCAGCAGACTAGCTTTTATAATACCAGGTGCTATGGGTAGGGAGGAAAAATCATCAGTAGTCCTACCCAGCTGTGAACTATTTGATCTACAATAAATACCAGACTAGAAAGATATGCCCATGTGTGAAATTTTACCACAAATGTTAGAAGGGTAACCAACTTCTTCCTCATTGGATTAAGGTCTGCTCTATAAGAGAAAACACATGCCTGATACTGTAAATTAGTTCAAGAACCAGCAGCTGGGGAGCTCATTGGCCCAGGGATGAACCTGCTACCATATCTTGCTAAATGGACATAAGATCAAACTGAATTCTGAATTTGTATCTCTGTACCCATAGACTGGTGCAGCTAGCTCCCAGACCTCATTGGAGAAGTTTCTTTGTGCAGTAGATGGAGGTTAAAGCAGGAACACAAAACTGGTAAAAATGTAGAGAACTGGTGTCTGTGGATTGCTCAGCCACAGATGGGACATCTATATCAGAGCTGCTCCCCCAAGGCTCAGGGAACCATCATGGAATAGGGGATGGGAAGATTGTAAGAGTCAGAGGTTGACAAGGAGAGGATGAAACCATGTCTTCTGGATGTGACAGGCCTTCTGCACTCATGAGCTTACAGCTGCTTTGGTTGCCTGCACAAGATCAAAGCAGTCACCATCCTAGTGTGGACAGGGCAGGCTCACAAGCCTCATTCCCTAGCTGAGGCACTATTGAAGCTTGGTGGCTGCTGAGGGAGGGAGAGTTGGTTTTCTTTGAGGGACTGGCCCTTGATAGGTTGCCTATGCTCCAGTGGATGGCCCCATACCCATGAGTACAGGGGCAACATAAATTTGGTTTCATGGGTCATTAAAAAACAGAAAAAAAATGGTCACAAAATGTGGAGGATGTGTGGGGTAGATCTGGAAGAGTTGGGGGAAGGAGTGAGGGGTAAATATGATCAAAACACACCCTATGCTTGTATGAAATTCTCAAAGAATTAGTAAAAATCCTTATATTTAATTAAAAATATGAAGACTAGAAGAAAGGTTATAAAATGTCAAGTGCTGTCTGTAATGAGGAACTGTAAAGAATGTTGTTGCTTAAATTTTCAATTCTATATATTTTAGGTAATGGAAAATAGCTAGACATATAGTTTAAATCTCTTATAGAAGGACAAAAATGTGATTAATGTTTGAAAATAAAACCAAAACCCATTGTTATAATACCACGACACATTATATAGATAATTTAATCTTGAGAGATAAAGTAAATCTATAAATTAAGTAAAATTGTTGCATAAAACCCAAACACAAAAGGTAGTCATTCAATTTAACAAAATGTAATTAAAATGTTTATGAAGAATATAGTTTGATTTCCAGATAAGTACTTCTTTATATGTGATGAGTTACTGCATAATGAGAATTTGAATTTTTCCATGTACACAGTTATTTGTGTACTGTCATGGTAAGTGATGGGTTCATAGTTAGAAACAGTGAAAATGACCTCAAGAGAGCCCTCCTAATGCGGCATCCTTTCTTTGCAGAGTGACATGAGCCCAGCCAGCAGCACCACCTCGCTTCCAGTCAGTCCTCTGACTGAAGAGCCGGTGCCTTTCAAGGTAAAAGATGAACAACAAAAGTTTCATTTTTTCAATATTTGTAGGTCATCATATAGTTTCACTGGGTAGTTCGTCCACAGACTTGAGATGAACTGCTTTAATCTTCTTGCTTGATTGCTTGTCTTTGTTTTGTTTTGTTTTGTTTTGTTTGAAACAGGGTCTTAACTATAGCACCCAGCTTGCTGGTGAACTGAAGATCATCTCCTGATCAACCTCTTTAATGCTGTTTAATGCTGTGATCAAAGGTGTGCACCACCAAGCGCAAAGCACATTTATCTTGAAAGATCTGACTTGAAATGTTTAAAATATCATTTTCCTTTTGTGCTATTGTAATTCCATTGCTGCCTAAAGGTGAAAGTTTGCAATACTTTGTGGAAAGTGTCTCCCTTATGTGTATTGTTTTCTCTCTGGTACTGTGATCCTTTGATCCCTACGAAGAAGAGCTTTCCCATCCTGTGTCTTTACTCAGTCACTGGCTCACATCTACACACCCACAGCTGTTGTTCCTTTGTTTTCATTGGCAATACTATTTGATGGATCCACACTTGAATTCTTGATCCTAACTTTCGTTTTGTAATGATTGCACCATTAAGTACGGATTGCTTTTCCTAAATACACTATATTTTTAAAATATTTAAATATGTGGTTAAGTGGTGGGACTAGTAGTATTGTTCAATTTGGGAAGCTCTGTGCACTACAAAAAGAGAAATACACCATTTTGCCTTATAAGGTTATTCATGATTGTTGAATTTTATTATAAAGTTATTTTTCTTCTCTTTTTCATATAAGGACTTGGCTATTATTCAGCCTTCTGCTGAGTAAGCCCTGTACAGTGACTGGTAGGGCTTTTCTGTATTTTATATTTTTTGTCTTACTGAGATAATGCTAGGAAGTCGGTTCTATTGAGGGCCTTTAGTTTCTGCTCATACCTGGTTGGTGTTTTGACTAGTGAGAAACAAAATATCATTCCAATCTCATGTCTATATCAAAGATTTGGGGAATGCTGAGTAGTATTCTGATTGTAGAATCTATTGGTATATAAATAATTTGACAAAATGGGGTCATAATTCTGTGCTTCAAAGTTTAGTGTTATTTGGAATTTCCAGTTTATGGTGTGCGGAACAAAATTTATAGAAGAACCATATCTTTAAGAAGACTTTAATTGAATTTCCAGAGCTCGCCAGAAACCATTTTCTCTTCTTACTATATAGATAAATTACAGTTCTCAAAAATGAATGTATTTTTTAACAAAGGTTAAAAAGGCCATTTATATTCTACAATCTGCTGACATAAAGCTAATGTGAGTGTAATTATTTCGTTAGACTATTTGACTTTTTCTAAGAAATCAATATTGTTTTTGAGTTAATGTGTGTAAGTGGTTTTTATAAGTAATTAAGACTTTCAGGGGCCTAGAATACACAGCATTGGCTTTCAATATTTAATATACTTACAGTCCCTATTAATTCACCAATCATGTGAAAATATAATTTATATTCTTCAAAAACTTTTAGTACTTGTAAAACCATCCTATTAGTACTTAAAAGTATCTAAAAATTAAGCTTTAAAATGATAAAATAAAGCTTCAGCATTAGCTTATTTTATCATTATAAACTGCCATTGTATAAATGAATAATAGAATGTTATTTATCTTTATAAAAACACAAAATATATTGAAAATATTTTGGGCAGAACTCTAAAAGTATAATGTATCATAATTTCAAAAATCTGTTAAAAATGATATTGTGTTTCTTATGTATCTCTGACTTTATTTTAAATTATGATATTTTACTGGAGAAATAGCTCAGTCAATAAAGTGCTACTTCAGAATTTAGTTCCAAGAGCCTCTTTTAAAAAAATATTATTTTTATTTTATGTGTATGAGTGTATTGCCTGCATGCATGTGAGTGCACTGTGTTGTACAATGCCGCAGAGGTCAGAAGAGGGTGTCGGATTCCCCGGAACTGGAGTTAAGGATGGTTCGTACATGCCATGTGGGTGTTGGAAATCGAACCCGGGTCCTCTGTAAGAGCAGTCAGCTCTTAACCACTGCGCCATCTCTCCAGCCCCTTCCTTTTAAAAAGTCAAGCATTGCTGGTCGTGGTAGCACGTCTTAGTCCCAGCACTCATGAGGCAGAGGCAGGTGAATCTCTGTGACATTGAGGTCAGCCTGGTCCACATAGCGAGTTCCAGACCAGCTGGGGCTATAGGGATACCATGTCTCAAAAAACACACAGAAACAAACAAATAAAATGCCAGAATGCCACGGGTGGTGGTACTCACTTATAATGCCTTCGCTAGGGGAGGATAGATGGGAGTATTTCTGTGAATAGGTCTAGTAGGCCTAGTCTATTTGTATAGTTCCAGACCAGTGACAGACCCTGACTCAAAGTCAAAAGTTGGACAGTACCTGAGGAATGACACCTGAGGTTGTCCTTTGACCTCCACATCCAAATGCACACTTGTGCACCAACAACATTATGTAGGCAATGTGTTGTAAAACAGAGGTGCTCATGTTGGCCACCAAGAAGCAGTGAGGCATAATAGGAAGGAGCCAAGGCCAATATCTGCCCTTCAAAAGCCCATTTCCTCAAACTAGCCCACACCTTCTTCATTTCCACATCTCTTGTTTGTCTACTGCAAGTTGAATCCATCAATGAATTAAACTATTGAATAGGTACTTGCCCTCAGTATCTGATCATCTCTGCAAACACACACACACACACACACACACACACACACACACACACACACAAAGTTTGCTTTACTAATAGCTCAGGTGTCTTTCAGTCCTATCCACAAACAGTCCAGGTTAAACATCATAGTTTCCTGAACTATTATTCTAGAACCCAACCCCATCACCATACACCTGATGTTGGGTAAATACAGCCACCATGTCTCTGAAATAGCTGCTTTGTTGCTGGTGCAGTATGGGGACTTGTGTTTTTCTTTTCTGCTGGGAAGTAGTTAGGTGGATAAAATAAATCCCTTCCACTGCTCACATCTATTTGGAATTAAACAGAACTCTTGGAGTTGGAGGAAGATACCTTGTGTTATCTTCCATGCATCAAAGTGGATGCATTCCTTTAAACATTATCTTCAGAATAATATTCAGAGGAAACTTTAAATATGTAACTGAAATAAAGATGAGTTAGAAATTATTTTTAAAAACACAATATGGGTCTGCAGAGATGACTCAGTGGCTAAGAGGAGGTACTGCCCATCCAGAGGACCTGAGTTTGGTTATCAGCACCCACATCATGCAGCTCATAAAGCTTCTGTAACTCCAGTTCCCAGGGTATCTGATGCTTCAAATGCACATACACACATGGATACAAATTTTAAAATTATCCATTAATTACTGCCCCATTGATACCTGTTCCTCAACTTGAATATTTGCTGAGAAATTGGCTATTGTCAGGAATGTAAAATAGAAAGATCTAGTAAAATAAATGTCGAAAACTGGATAGCATCCTGAGAAATATTTCACTAAGTTGAGAGGTTTGGCTTTGGAGATTTGGATATTTAAGCATTGAAGATGGCAAATCAAGTTTAGGACCAATATTCTTTTTTACAAATAAGTCAGTTTCCTTCTGTATTAATATTGGAATCTAGTCTTCATTTAGTTGTTTTTTTTTTTCAAATGTCCTGAAAGGCATTGCCAGTCTTATATTGTTACATGACCCTATTCTCTGTTCTCCCCACACAAGAGTTCCCGTCCTCCTAAGCTTCATATACTTATAATTCAAAACTTATTGTTATACGACCTAAATATTCATGCAGTCTTACTTTAAACAACTGGAAAATCTGAGCACTCTGCCTATCTTTTCAAATAGAACTGCTTGACCGACATTAGTGAAGGATGATTGGACAGGTCACATGAGAGCTCAGTTCACCAGAGCTGCCACTATTCCCTGTTCTGTTCATTAAACCACATAGGAATGTGATGTTAGGAAGAAGTGCTGTGTATCACCACCTGACCATAGAGCCTTAACCCAAGACTTAGTAATGCATAGTAACTCACATGTTTTCTTCTTTATTATGTACAATTTTCAGTATATAGAAAATGTAGCAACTCTAGATAGATCATACATTTTTACATTATTTATATATTTTGTGCAAGGGAGGGGGTGCATGTGTGTGGAGGTCAGAGGACAACATGTAGGAGTTGTTTCTCTCCTTCCACCATGTGGGTCTGGGGAACAAACTCACGTCCTAAGATTCGGTGGTAAGCACCTTTACCTTCTGAGTCATTTCACCAGGCTTGAAGCATTTTTAAAAGAGATATATTATATAGTCTTTATAATAACCACTTCTTTCGATTTTTAGGGATTATTTTTATTTTTGCTACAACATTACAGGCAGTGTCTGGCATCAAGGCCCACTTGTCCCACTTGTTTCCTGTGTGACCATGAGCCAGTTAGTTTTTTCTAAATTTTTCCATCTATAAAATGAGGGCCAGTCCAGCCACATCTTCCTAAGACTCTTAAAAGCAAGGCTCAAATATAAGTACATAGGACAGACCTAAACCAGCACATAATAAGCCAATAAAAAGTACTAACTATTGTTTTTAAACAGGCAAGATCTCAAACTTTAAAGCAAGAATATCCTGTAGTATAAATAATATGAAGAATCTTTCAGCTTAATGTTTTTTACTTTATTGTCAAATGGGAAAAGAAAAATATATTTTAAAACAATCTTTTATTTAGAAGATTAGTGCTTGATATTAGTTTTATAAACCATGTTATTTATTTTATACTGCTTGGTTTTCAGTTTAACTTACATATTGGATTCTTTTTGTGAAAAGTAATTAATAGGAATGTTCTTCAGTTGTGAAGAAGAAAGTAAATATGAATTTTTCTTGAGGGTAAACTGATAATTATAGTAAAATATTAAGCAATAAAAAAGCATATACCATGTCTCCTGTAACATTGGACATGGAATCATTTCATCAGGAGTATGGCGTAATAAAATTTCCTTTAATTCTCCCAAGTCCCACAATA